AGTTAGCTGATTGAGTAGACTACAAATACCAAATGTCAATATGGCCGGAACATTAAAATTCAAGATGGTGAACGAAATGGAAAATAGGACTTCCGTTGTGTTCGTTCTTTTGAATTCATAGTTGTTATTGACAGAATTAATGACATATTTCAAAAGAATGAACCTCGCTCTATATTTTAAGATTAAATGAGTTATATCAGTTCATTGCTTTTGGAGATACAGCGAATTAAAAAAAGGCCTACTTGCCAGTTTTAAAATCTGTAACAAAAAACAAACTTTGATATTTTGTTAGCCAATTCTTTATTTCTCAACCAATTTCAATAAACTTGGTATTGTTATGTAAGCAACAGAATCGGCTCTAAGAATGCCAAAATACAAGACTCATTTTCTACTAGTACTTCTATTGGTTATACTACTATAACATCTTAAATGCCAATTCGCTACATCTCCAAAATCATTGAACCAATTTAACTCGTCGCAGTCTTAATATGTAGAGGAGAGTTCGTTCTTGCGAAATTTGTCATGAGTTCTGTCATTTTGACAAATTTCAATTCAAAAGAACGAATGCAAAAAAAGACTATTTTCAATTGCGTCCGCCATCTTGAACATTAATATTTTGATAATCTTGACACTTGGTCTTTATGGCCTATTTAATCAGCTACATATTGACACCAAGTTCGTTAAAATCGTCTCAGAAACATTTTTTGGCAAACAAAAGCAGAAAGTACGGTTTTTTTCGGCCCGTCCAGTATTTATAGAACAATTCCATTGAATACCCAGTTAATATATTCAAATTATTTTTAGCCATTTTTGGACAAGTTCTTAGAATTGTGTTAATTTAAAATGATGGTAAAATCATTTGCAAAGTATGATGAACTATATCACATTTCTGAAATTGAGCAAAATATTCCTGACGTGACATTAATAATTCAGAAAATAAAGTTATTACACACTGGTATTAAATATGTAATCAAGTCGTTAACTTTTTTAATAAACTGGTCTCTAACAGACGGTGTATTTTCGGATGATTTCAAAATTGCGAAAATCATTCCATTACAAAAAAAGGTGACACACCGTCCATTGATAATTATAGATATATTTCACTTTTATCATCAGTGTCAAAGATTTTAGAAAGGGTATACAACCGAATTGTCAAATTTTATTCAAAATATAAAATTTTCTGTGATGACCCACATGGGCTTAGAAAGGGTAGGTCGGCTCAGTCAGCATTACTTAGTTACCTCAATGAACTTTATGACAATTTAAATAAAAAACAAAAAGTGTTTTGGAGTTTTTATGGACTTACGTAAAGCGTTTGACTTAGTCAATCACGTGTTACTTCTAGAAAAACTTAATAAGTGTAGCATTAGGGGGTCATACCTATCCAATCTCAGACAGGTGGTAGAAATCAATGACGCTATGTCAAGTGATCTAACAATTTCATGTGGAGTACCCCAAGGCTCTGTTTTGGGACCACTCTTGTTTTTACTTTTTTATAAATGATTTGCCAAATATTGTTAATGATTGTTTGGTAATTATGTCTGCGGATGATACTTCATTTCTAAATTTTGAAGACCACTTACCTCAGTTGGTGGAGACCACTCAAAATAAAATAGTTTTCATGCTTATACATCAAGACTGTCCACTTACAACGAAAGTCATCTACTTAAAATAAATGGAAAGTCCTTAGAACAGGTGATATCTACAAAGGGAAGGGAAGGTTAAGGAATTATCTATTTGTACACCTAAGAAGGTGTACAAATAGATAATTCCCTTGACTGGGAACATCACATTGATGCACTATGTAAAAAAATTGTCTCCCGTTTGTTTTGCATTTTATATGTTAAGGAATATCACGAACAAAGAAGTTTTGTTGACTTATTATTATGCACACTTCTACTCAAGATTAGTTTATGGTATCGAATTTTGGGGTAGTTTAAGTCACTTTGAAATAATTTTTAAAATTCAGAAAAAAGCGAAAGGAATATAGTAGGAATTAGCAAGACAACATCATGTAGGAGATATTTTAAAGAAATACGAATTTTACCGCTTTCTGTATATATACATTATGGTCATTGTCACACTCACTAAATTGAATATTGAAGAATTCTTAACAAATAATTACAATCACAGTTACAATATACGTGGACAAGATAGACAGATAGATAGATAGATATCGTTTATTAAACCACATTATATACAGGTTTGTACATTTGCAGCAAGTCAGAGCACAAAATCTTATAGTTAAAAAAATTTTTTTTTTAAAGATCATCAGGGTTGATATATATAAATATAAATATACAAAGCACAAATACAAATACATAAGCTATAATGTACATAGTATATCCGTATAAATAAAAACACATATATGACAAACCAGTGTATATACAAACATATATACACATATGCACATACATATACACATGCACATACATACACATATACACACATGCATGCAACATATACACACATATACATACACGCATACATACACATACATACATACACACATATATATACACACACGTATACATATACACACACATATACACATACATACACCTATGAACACACATAAAACAAAAATTAAACTAATTAACAAATTTAAACTAAATATCGGGTAGTTCTGCTCCACATCAATATAATAAATACAATGCGATTTTAAATGGGTAATCTTTTATTATCTATTATTATTTATCAATTTCTTGTTTATTAGAGTGATGCCCGTAAATAATCTTCAATTGAATAATACTTCTAACATTGTTTTTAAAACGATATAAATTTAGTGACTTTACTTCAGGGGGTAGTTTATTATACAAATTAAAATTTAATGAATTACTTGAATATAATAATTTACTAATTCCTGCTCATCATTTGTCCCTATATGAAAGGAGTCCTAAGTACATGGGAATAAAACTTTATAATAATTACCCGATCATGTGACATATTAATAACATAATAGGTTTAAAATAGAAATGAGGCAACTACTAATCGATAATGTTTTTTATGACGTAAATGAATATTTAGATTTTGTATTTTAAATGTTTTTTATATTAATAATGTGTATGTGTATGTTATATACATATTATTTTATTCGTATTGTTGTATGTTCTATGTTATTAACGAGTCCCATATCATTTTTGTATTGGTCAAATAAATTATTGTTATTATTATTAATATTATTATTATTGTCTTCTGAATCAGAGTCCGCAATCGACTGCCCGAATGCAGTTATTTAATTTTTCTATTTTTCGGTAAACCATAAGTTTGAGCTAAAAAATTGGCAATATATTATATATAGTTTCATTCTAAAATTGTAACAATTTGTCGCATAGCAGCCGCAGTATTTATCTGGTGGGCATCTAGCTAGTTGCTGTCAAAGCAATAAGAACTGACTAGGACTGTTCGGACTGTGTACTTGTAGTCACCTTTCACCCACATGCGAGTCGCCATCACCATCGCATGTCATACCTTGCCAGGCCAGAAACTGAATGCGCATTATGAGAACGACTGATCATGATCACCTCGCGGCACTACCATCACTCATAGCCTCATGTGTCTCAAAAATGCAACATGCGGCAACAGCAACGGCAAATGCTTCTTCTTACAGGTACTCTCCTTCTGAGATTAAGTCCACTGATAATCGTTCCAATGCACATGTGCGGAACATATTATAATGTCGTAGTATTTGACCTTTAGATGACCATAACTGTTTCGGTTTCACCTTATTTGAACAGTAAATACGCCCTTGAATATAACATTCTTCAACCCACATTCCAATAGGTACTTTTTTTCTAAAATCGTGATTTTGTTTTCTAATGTTACTATTGGTTATTCTTATTTTTCCAATATCACTTAGTGAAAGGATATAAATGGTTCAAAGATACTTCCGTATATTTGAAGTGTTCAAAATTGGTACCTACATAATTTTTAAAAATAGACAAAACGTTTTCGTGTATTATAGAAATGTGGAAGCAATATATTGTTTTAGTCCATAAATAATTTGTCGCAAATGGATAAATATTTAAAAAAAGGTATTAAAGCAGCTTGTGCAAGTATTTAAAACAACATGATACATTGAAATAAATAATCTGGTAAGAGATTAGAAGAAAAAAAGACTCTAAAAATGAGCTAATAGTACACTCCGCGCAAGCAGATGGACATTGCCTATTTAATGTCCTTTAAATGAAAATACATAAAATAGATGTACTCTATGATCATGGAAATCTGAGGAAGTATGCGAAAATTCACAAGGAAAGAAACAAGTACCAATCTTACATTATCGGGAAGATAGAAAAAGGGGAAGACATTAGCAATTACTCAGAAGATTAATGATTTCCTTCCTTCTGGGTGGAGAAGAAACAATAACAAATATAGTGGAAGTGACAAGTGCTAAGTGACAAAAATATTATACAGAAGATAATAAGGCAACATAAATCGTTAGCTACCCATACAATCAGGCTGAAAGGCTACTATCCAACCCCCAACAAAATAGTATATGACAATCTACAAACACACCTGATAAGACAAGAATTGCAAACAAAATACAAATTTTAACATAGAATATAGAATACACACCACCGAAGTCAACAGATTGAAATTGCCGATGAATTAAATTTAAGAACAATCGGTATACCCTGTAATGAACTTTTTTAAAAAATATATTAGCATTGCATTTATTACGGATATATACTGTATAATGATCAAAATGGCAATTGGATGCTGCAGAAGCTGGACCAAAAACAAAAGACAGAACCGAAATTAGAATGAATATATGACAGACACAGAAACTATATAGGGAGGACAACAAACAAATATTTCAACATGTTTTTTTACCCGCCTTTTAAGTCACCCAAGCAACCCTCTAAAAATCCTAGAATTTTGTCTTAGGTAAAGAAAGACAAGGACATAGTTTATTATGGTGTCCAAACCACATCTAGGGCATTGGCATTTCCTCACCCTTCTTAGTACGAAGAAAATCACAAATAAAATTTCCAGTTTGCTGCAGGATGGAATCGAACCATCAACCTACGGTACCGGGTAAATAGCCATAAGCGCTTTACCAATTCGGCTTCCATGCCCCTCATGAATCAGTTAACATCTCGAAAACGACGACAAGAGTACAGTCAGAGGGTCTTGGAACCGTTCTGAATTTATTTTAAAAAGTGTATTTTGAAAGTCAGATTTCGTAAAAGGGAGGTAAAGCTGCGTATCATCCGCGTACATATCACTTTTACAGAATTTAATATATTTGGGTAGGTGGTGAAAGGGGACCAAGTATTGATTCCTGTGGGACACCACGTACTATATTTTTAATGTCAGATAAATTGTTTCCCAGTTTTACCCTTTGATATATAGCTGTCAAGTAATGCCGGAGCATCGTTACCTAAGCCAATATTAAACCGAAATTGATGCAAAAGGCAAAGAAAAAAATAATGTTCAACTTTTCGTGCACACTGTTAATATGAGATGTAATGTAATGTATAAGATACTTACATTTTGTCGTAATTTCATGCCTGAAAGCTAGTAAACCAAGACAACCTGCAACAAAAAGAAAATTCAAATATATTTTCTCTGCAATTCAATTTCCAAAAATGGTGTGTAGTTCCAGCTTTACTGAATATCTTAATATATTTTTTATAATTATAGACAGATGCGTTTAGAATATTTATCTAATTCTCTATTATTATAGTAAAAACTGAAATGGTCCAAAATATAAACTAATGTAAAATAAATTTGATTTGAACGTGGCAACATAAACCTGTTTTTAAAGCTACCCGTATAATTAGGCAGTTAAAAAATGCCCCAAAACTTAATGCCATGTCCCTATTTCATTTGAGTCGAATAGTCTTTAGAAGCAATTAAATTTTGACAAAATGATTAATGGCCTCAAAATCACAGCCACAATTGTATGTGATAATAGTCCGCATTGTTGGAAACTAATGATAGGGACTAAAATGATTCTTTTTATTATTTCTTATAATTATTGTTATTACTATATGATCACTGTTGTTAAGATTTTAGGTAATTTTTATTTTGGGACCGTTGTACTTTATAAACGTTTAAATACTGTTTTCTTTAGTAACTTTCAGGACACGTGCTTAACATTAATAACAAAGGTAAGTTGCAATTTATTGTGAGTACTTATTTAAAACATTTTTGTGTACCTCGCACCTCAAAACGCTACACTATGGGTGTAGCGTTAACACCCTCAAATTAAATTAAGAGAACTAAAATTTTATCACTTATATGCTGATTTAAATAACATTCGGTTCATATCTGAAAAATTAAACTATAATTGCTGTAATTTAGCACAAAAAATATACCTGGGTGCTAATATTTTATATACAGGATGTGGATTTTCACGGGAAGCGAATTGAATGTAATTAAGTATTTCATATTAAATTTCTGATTTGCTATTGCTGTACCCATTTTCGAGCCTCATCATTGGGATCTTGGAAACCGCAAGAGATACAGGGTCGGTTAAATTATGGCAAAGATGCGCAATTTGATGCTTAACAAAATGCTGTGTTGGAATTTGGAAAATTCCGAATACTTTCTGAAATATCCGGAAAAAAACGAAATTTCATAAAATCTTTTTTATTTCTTTCTGACGTTATTTGAAAACAAATTTTAAAGCTAATAATACTTCGTCATTGCCACTCTTTATCCTCTACAAGGTGGCGCTGCCAAATTTTTAAATCCGACGTTTCGTCTTTCATTTTTTTAAATACGGACCTGGATTTTTTATTTTATTTTTTGTTACCATTGGACTCCCTAAATGCTATGACCCATCACAAATTTTGATTTTCAAACGTTTCGATGAGAAAAACTGACATTTTCTGTATTTTTTTAAAATATTTAATACGACACTGTTTATAAAACAAATTATTACTCCTGGCTAAATAATGTTAATAATAATTAATTGATTAATTAATAACTACATACCCAAACTTTAAAAGTAACAAAATTAAAACCTAAAGTAAATGTTCAAATATCCCCCCTTGCACCTCTATGCATTTTCGCATGCGTCTTCGCAGATTGCCCGTAATCGCCCGCTGGATTACTCTTCCGCTTGCTCTTAAATCTGCTATCTCTAACATTAAATTTTGGTGCAAAATGTTTGTCATGTGGAGTATCTTGATACAAACGGTTTTTTTTAAAATCCCTATAAAAAATAATCCAGTGGGGACAAATCCGGGCTTCTAGCAGGCGAGCGCACTACCCCTTGGTTTCCAATCCACTAATTAGGAAATGTTTCATTAATAAACTGTGTGACGGCCCTTGCATTATGGGCTGGTGCGCCATCCTGTTGCCACCACAGTTGCCAAAGCATATTTAAAGGCTCGTCGTCAAGCGCATCTAATATATAATTTCGGATGAAATTAAGACAGCGTTCAGCATTTAAGTTTCCATCGTAAATAATTGGCCCCAAGATTTTATTTTGATACAGCCCAACCCAAACATTAAATTATGCCCGTCCGTGCCTTCGCACTTGTTGATTTTGGTGCGGATTTTCCACTGCATAATAATGCTCATTGTTCCTGTTAAAAAGACCGCATGTGGAAAAATTACACTCATCAGTCCAGATAATTTTATTTAAAAAATCGCCATCTTGTTGCAATTTTCCATCAAGCCAATTGCAAGATTCAATCCTTCTTTCACTGTCTGCTGGCCTTCATTCTTGGCTGACATGTAGTTTATATGGATGATACCTATGTTTTTGGAGAATCCTCTGAATTCGGATTCAAGGCATATTTAGTTCTACGGCAAATTGCCGAGAGGAACCTATAGGATTTTCCGTAACCTTTAATAAAACGTTTCGGTGAAATTTTACCACAAAATATTGTATGTGTTAAAATGTATATTATCATTTTATAACAAAACTTACAGCATTAATAACAGCTTCTTCATCTTCAGCTTCTATTCGTCCGCTATAAGCATTTCGGGGTTTACCAAAACTACCAAAAAGTCCCAAATTTCTGTCCAAATTATTAAAATACGAGTAATGGGGTTGTGGACGCTCGGAGTATCTTTCTAAATATCATTCACATGAAATTTGCGAATTTCTATTGACACCGTAATAAATCCAAAGCATATCACGTTTTTCTGAATTGGAAAACACCATTTTTACTGTCTCAAATTATTTAAAAATTTAAACTGTCATATTTTAAGGAGCTAGGGTGATTTCTTGTTTTAATATCAAGGCCGTCTTTTTCATTTTCCGTTAATATTACAGAAATAAGCTCAATATAAACGAGGTGAACGGACACATTAGATTGAAATAAAAGTATTCGACTTATCCTATTTTTTAAAATCCTATTTACGCATTTAGGCTTTGGAAATAAATAAGAAATATTACATTGGTATTTACTATTGTAATCTAAATTAGTTACCTACCAATAAGTGCTTTAGTTATAATTATAATGACTTTTTATCCGCTTTTAATATAGCTTTTCATCAGTATCATAAATTTAGATATTTATTTTTTTACCTAGCTAACAAATTTAGAATTTTGAAAGAATAATTTGTTTTAAAAACAGTGCCGTATTAATTATTTTTTTTAAATACGGAAAATGTCAGTTTTAGTCATCGAAACGTTTGAAAATCAAAATTTGTGATGGTTCATAGCATTTGGGTCGTCCAAAGGTAACAAAAAAATAAAATAGAAAATCCAGATCCGTATTTAAAAAAAATAAGTTAATGATGTTTTCTGGAAGACGAAATTGCGCAACTGAAATTAAAACTCAACGTGTCCGAAGATTTTTTCTAAATATTTTTGGTTTAAGAAATAATGAATTTGTTCCATACTTTACGGACACATTATACATATTTTACTGTAATAAACACGTCAATATAATTTTAGAGGGGTAGTTTGAAGATAGTTCGAAATTACTATTGATTGCATTTTATGTTTCACTCCTTCAGTCCCAGCCACCCCAACTTTGGAATTTTAAATGACCCCTCTTTTATGACATATCAATTTAAAGGGCATAAATAATAGTCCTATTCTTTTAGCAAAATAAAAATTGAATTCGGTTCATCCATTTTTGAGATAGAGCCAGAAATATACCATTCAATGAATAATAACAGCACTAACATATGAAAGCGGCCCGGATCTAAATACAAGTTCTTGATTTGATAAAGTATATAGTTTGCTTGAGACATAACTTGCCCTTTTGAAGTATGTAAAATGTAAGTTTGCATTTTTGCAATGCGAATCCATGTTATTAGTCCTTAACAAGTCAATCCACCCGCATATACGGCACCTCTGTGGTGTCGTTTAATAAAAAAGTAGGGGTACCGAAACACTTCACGAATTGGGGGTGCTAACTTATCTTCCAGCGTTGGCGATTGGTATCAGTAGCGAAAATATGTTAAATATGTAATAAATTAAAAAACTGAAATTAAATATTTTCAATAATCGTTGGTTATTAGCGACTAAAGATTATTACAGTAATTTTATGAGTGTTGAGTAACTCTACCAGACATTTTATGTAATTTTACGCTTTCGTCGACAATTTTATTCGACACTTTACAAAAGCGCTGTTTATACTATTTAAGAGTCTAGTATTTTTTCGTTACAAATTACTTTAATATTGTATTTTCACTTCATAATTTGGAAGCATTCACTGAATTTATGGTATAATTTTAATCCTTCTTTCGAGTAAAACGTAAGGTATATAAATAAAAGTTACATTAATATTTAGATAAAACTAATCTCTTTAATAATGTAAGCATTCAGGATATTTCGATATCAAAAAAATTATTTACACTTACATTTATGTACATCTACATCTACATCTACATCTATCTATTTTTTTATTATACACGTATATACTGATAATTCTCGAGTTGTCGTTTTTATGTTTCATTAAATTCGTAATAAAATAAAGTAAAATTTCTGTAAGACGTTTATAACCCTAGTATTAAATACAAGACATAATACAGCTGGTTGTCTCTTCCATTTTTAATAAATATTATCTAGAAGCACTTTGATCTACATATAAAGAGTACAGAGTTTGTTTTAATTAAAAGTTGGTGCATAACGTTGACTTTGTGCGCTGGGCCAGAG